GCAGTCAAACCTGTCAAGATGAGTAAGTCATTGTTTATTCTTCAAGTGACTCAGACCATAACATGCCGCCATACATGCGCACAAATAATACAATAGTGAAGTGTTCCACAGCGTCTCAACAATTACTATTTCGTGCTTACGGTTCGTTCTTAAATTAAATTTTAAAAATGTAGAACGCCAGCAATACGACATATTTAGACACATACGTGAACCCATAAACATCATATACGTTTACATGAACAACAGACAAGTTATATATTCTCACTGCAGTTTCCATAGTATATATATATACAAACTTCACTACCCAGCCAGAAACTTTCCCATCCACCTATCACCACTAATGCGTATTAGTGCTCCAAATAACAAAAAACAAGGGTGAAGAATGCATATTCAGTCAATAAATGCAGTTTAATGAAAGCATCTCACTGGTTATTCAAATAACTAAACAGTAAAACAATCCACTATGCATGACATACAATTGAGGTGGAAACGATCAGAGCAAAGTAGTTATTTGACATAATGATGCTACTCGTGTTTAGCTACTTTTTATTAAATTAAGTAGTATAAAAAATAAAAGTTATTAAAATGACGGTTTCAAAATGTAATTTTATTAATTTAACCTTTGACCGGAAATAATTCTATAACTTTCTCACACATTTAATATTAATACACGAATTTATAGTCTAGTTGATGACCTTGTCTGAAAGAAAATTTTCTTCACTGCAACCGTCTTTTTAATAATTCCTATAATCCAATGTGTATTACCTGAACTGAATGGCATCGTTTCAACTACTCGCGTCACGGATGCGAATGTCACCGGTAGACATTCATTATCCTAAAATCAGTTTGGAAACCTGAAGCACTATATATATATATATATATATATATATATGTATATATATACTGTATTAAGTTGAATCGTGAAGGTGTGAATTGTATTAACGTACCAACTTTTTCTATTCCTATGCATTCCGAGTAGAACATAGGGTAACGGTGATGTTTTCTTCCTTTACTGAGTCATGTTACTAGTCTTACACCCAACATTCCCTCTTTACTGGGTTTACTACCAGCTAAGCAGAGTGTAGAAGTGCGTCAGCTGGGAATAGAACCCGGACCAAATGGTTGCGTGGTTGGTGGGCATTTTATTGTTGAGCAACCGACATAACTTACTTTTTGCTGGCTTGAAATCTTTGTTTCAAATAAATCTATTTATTGTTAACATGTGATAAGCTAAGCCATTTATAAATTGAACAAAATGTTTCTAGTAAGTTACTAGGAAAAATGTAGACCGTGTTATTAATGAACAAAACTAAGAAATTCGTATTCTAAAGAAATTAGACAGACACTAAATATACAATTTATGATATTAATAACCACATATAGGTGAAAAGTAATGTGAGAAGTATGCCAGTCCTTAAGCGCAACGAAGAAGCAGAAAACAGTTACTCTGGCATTTCGTCATGTAACTATTTCTGTAGACCCAGGAAACTTTGAGTGCGCACATACAAGCTGACATCATAACGCATGAATAGATTCGTTTCAGTTAATACACGAATTAATAACTAACAAGGTTGCAATCTTTATGAAATTAGAATTTTAAAATTATTTATCTAATGGAGGAACATCAAGGAGTTCCGAATGAAAATAACACATTTTATACTTGATCCAAATCTAATCTTATTAACTTTATCCTCGTTTCTGAGACATTTACATCCCGTGAACTATTTTATCAACTATATAACCTGTTTTATCGTTTGATATTTAACTATGATTATAATCACGAATATTTTATCGCGATTCGTATTATAATTTCAATAAATCACTTTCGTTGAAAAGGGTCTCATCACTGTTTTCATTTTCTGCACAGCTTAATGTGAAATTCCCATGAACCTAAGAACTGCATCCCATATAGTAGGAACTAATAATAATACGTCAGCTTTATTCTAGAAATCATGTTTACACACGATACACAATTCTCAGCGGGATTTCTTGCGATGAATTTACACTTTTTATAGAATCTTGAAGTAAAATTCTCATTAAGAGTATACGGTATGACACAACGTCCTTCTTTCTGAGGTAAGGCTCAATCCTCTACGACATTTCCCCTTCATTCCATATATATTAACTGCATAACACAATATCATTCATTTATTTACTCTCAGCTTCATTGTACTTCTGGTTAGCATATGCTAAATTTCACATAGTAAGAACAATGAATATATATGGCTGGTTTTTCATTCTTTCGAATGCTAGATATTAAGGTTTCTGAATAAGTACTCCAAGCATAACTATCAGTCTATACAATGACATAATTTTCTACCATCAACAAATACTTAGTCAACTTTTATTGAGTAAATCTTTGGTTCCTTTATAATGCTAGTCACATGCTTATATCGATTTCTCTAAACAGTCAAGATTCAGAATAAAATACACAGTTAGAAAAAATAGTATAGCAGTAGTGTCGTGTGTGTTTTTGACATGGCATTGCAAGCAGCACATAGTATTGTATCTTTCGGAATTCCCATTCAGTGATAGAAAAGAAAAGGCGTTCAGCAAAGAGTTACTCTTTTCGGCGATATCATTCTCAAGCTGTACAAACCGCAAATTTATAGTAATTTTTTCTTGGCAACAAAAGGAATATTTCCAAAGATGTGTTAATGCAATTGTTAATTTTTTGACAACAAATTACGTAATTCAGAAGGCGTTAATCGGTTAGAAACTAAAATAAAGTTACAAAAGTAGGTTGGGTGACGTAATCTAATTGCTAGGGTTCAATGAAAAATGAATGAGAGTCAAGTTAATAACCTGAGTACAATTCACTTAAAAATAAACGAAAATGGAGTTAGCAACAGTCGTCATGAGGGTAGAGATTTAATAGAGGGTGGGGGTAGAAAATAATGCAATTAAGAAACAGACAAACAAAGAAGGAAGAGGTAAGACAAAATTACGTATTTGGTGTTAAGATAGATCAGGACCATTGTAGATTTAGTGACTGAACAAACTTCTTTTGTATGCAGAGTTCAGGATTCAATATGTGAATTGCCATTGCTTCTGCAGTTTGAAAAAGTTTAATTCGTACTCTTTTGGCAAGATTCCCACGTATTGTGTAGATGACTGAGAATTCCAAAATAAAACTGCCTTCTTCGACATCCTACTTACAAGAAGAAGATGGCAGTATAGAAAGAAATTTCCCTTTTAGAAAAGTACATAGATAGGACAGTATAGACATTTCCATAGCTTTGTCCCCCGCCAGCACACAAAGAATTTGTTAAAGATCATCAGCTATAGGGTAAGAGCCATTTAGTCAGATGTAATTTAAGATGGACTTAAGGTTATTAATTGAAAATATTTAGTCTAAAAAGTTCATCGTGAAATCTATGACCAAGAAAACAGAAAAGATTTCTCCTTTACCTGATAACAAAAAGTTTGTAAATATACGAATGCGATTCGCAGGTGATGTACCAAGTGAAATAATAACCAGCAAACTTGAGAAAATCGATTTGAAGAACTTTTAGTGCTGGTATTCTGCAGTGCATATTTTCCACACAACCGGTTGTAATTCCGAAATTTATAAACAAAGCACCTAGACTAGCCGCCTCTTATTGTAACTATCAGTTTAACTACTCCTGTGAGGCCAGTTATTCTAGGAAATTAGTTTTTCACAAAGGTTTAGTAAAAACTATCAGTAGTTTGATGTTAGACCACCTTATTCAGGCAGGCCGCTAGGCTAGCACTGAAGAGACTATTTCTATCACCTATCAGGTGCCAAATAAATTACCATAGCCCTACAGGTACTAAATACTCCAAGTAACACAGACTATTGCGGTTCGCTTAAAACAACGGGGACTCTGTATGTCGAGGAAACAGGCCCAGCCACCAAAAGCTACTCTGGCCTTGTATGATGTCTATAAATTTATAAATCCTGCATTCTTCTTCTTAATTTATATAATACTCAGTCTAGTGTTATACTAATACATATTATCAATTACAGATGCTTTTGAACTTTAGTCTATTGATATTATTGGTCCTATGTTACGGAAAAATACATTAAAGTTGTTATTACCAATAATTCTGTAATTATTATGGGTATGTAGCCGTAGAAATTGATGAAGAGTGAGTTATGGGAAAGACTACCTACTCTTTGCTCACTAAACTCAGGTCAGATGAATAAATAAGCGACTGACAGAAGTTGATTGTAAGCCTGTACGAAAACGAAGACACAGAAAACGTATGAGAACACAGATAGAATAGTAGTAGTGTTGTATAAAAGCAGAATAATTAATTTCAACTACTATACATCAGTCTATCGTTGTTGTTATTTGCCTATTAGGTTGTAGGCGTGTTGATGATTAAGAAAAAAAAACTAGCCACCCACCGGTGTACTACTAGATAATTTCACCAGTGCTATAAATAAATATTCTCTTAACGGGAAATTTCAACTGTTACTTGATTTTTATACTCAAAACAGATAGAATAATAGAACATGACAATTACTAATAGTCGATACTTCTAGGTCCGAATTGCTTGTAATCAAGACATTAACAACTTTTTAATGTTCCATACTGATTTTTTGGACTTGTAAACAATTTATCCAAGTCGAATTAATCTATTGGTTAATAAATATATAAAAGCATGCATAAGACAACTACTACTACCCTCTCTCCCTCACACACACACACACACATTCTTCATTTCAAGGTCGTAAAGTTTAATCCATCACATGGATATTCACATATATTTTATTGCCCCTGCTTGTTTGCTAGCTTGCTTGCTTGCTTGCTTGATATTCTATCCAAATTTTCTAACCTCTACCTTTTACATTTTGCATCAGGCTGATTAAAATAAATATGTCGATTAATTTTGAAAAGACCTTGCTTGTATATGTCTCTTTATTATTATTATTATAGATTACTATTATCGGCCTCAATCAAGCAGGCAATAGTGGATAAGTTATGTGTTGTGTTTGGTTGCTTAATTTAGATGTCTGTCTTACTTACCAGAGAGAGAGAGAGAGTGAATGAGATTACAATATACGAATTTCATCAATAATCATAATAATAAAAATATAAAATAAATTATATATATATATATATGCATATGGGACGAGGTTTTTCTATTTACTGCATATTTTTACTTCATACTAGTCAGTTATTGTGCGCGTAGACAGGCAGTCAATGTTTTTTCTTGTTTTTTTATTTTGTGTGATTAAATAACACCATTTACATTAGAATACATGTAAATGTGAACATCATATTCACAACAAAACTTTTGTTTAATTCAATATTATTATTATTATTGTTATATACATGCATATACACGGAGAGATAAGTGCATTTGTCTTATAACCAACCTAAAAATCTTATTATCATTATCATTATTATTTCTATTAATGGAAATGTCTATCAAACCAAAGTCTTTGTTTCACTAACTATACAAATATACACGGCCTAATTATCTAATCACAATAAGCCTTTCTACAGTACAACTAGTGTATACATACACGTATTTAATATCGGATATATTGATCAATGGAAGCATTATTTTATACAGTATACAAAATTTACTATCAAGTAATGAATTCCAAAGAATAAACAAGTTGAAAAATTGATCGTTTATTTCTCTGGTGGTAAGTTATATCTCTGAATTATTGTTATATTATCATATCTTTATGCTATTATAATTATTTCCTTGGGTTCCAAGTGGAACACAGGGCTTCAGCAGCACATCTATATTTCACTCTGTGGTCTTCTTTTTTTGGCTGGCTTCACAAATGCCCATAAGATTTAAATTACCCCTTGCTCCTTCATTTACCTTCGAACCCATGCCAAACTCGTCGTTTTCCATTCAGCTTCCGCCTTTGGTTAGTTTTTGAATTCCTTCACAGTCAACACTGTTGAAGTCATTTTCAAAATCTTTTATGTTGAAGTAAAGAGGTTTATCTGTCATTCTATGCTCCTTTTGATGATGTATAGCGTCATAATTTGGTTAGCATATGATTTGCTTCTCCTGAATCCAGCTTGTTCGGAGCAGAATCCTACATCTAGAGCATGTCTTAGTCTCTCCAGAATGATACGACTTAATATTTTGCTTGGAGTGGACAGAAGCATGATTCCGCGCCAGTTTTTGCAAAGGCTTAATCGTCCTTCATTGGTGGTAGCTCGACAAAGTAGACCTTCCGATTGGTAGATAACTTTCCTCCTTTCTAAGGCTTCTGCACTAGTGGTGTGAGCATATCCGCTGAGGTTTCTTGGTCCGTTTCCTGTATTAATTATTATGGTCCTCACTACTACTTTTTTTCCGATTTGTCAATATTTGGATGTTTGGATGGTAGTTTCATAACTAAGTTTCTCTGGTAACATGCAGCCCAAATTTTATGTACTCATAATTTCAATACCACAACATGTACTAATGGTCTTTACAGTATTTTACAGAACCTATATCATTCCCAAGTCATTTATTACAAACGGAGCAAATTTCCGTCAAAATTAAACTATAGCAGCCACCCTAATCGATCTTGCCGCTCACCTGAGGAACTAATCAAAATTGAGGAGCACTAAAAATTGTTAAAAAGATACCCTAGTTTATGGTATTCGGATATCTGTTTGTATTTCTTTAATCTACCCCAAGATCACAAACCTAGAAAAAAGTTATCCTGTCAAACTGCATTTTTTTTAACAACTTCAGTTCATCCATCGTTGCTGGAACTCGGTAAGCAAATGCAGAACAGGAAGCGTAATTTGATTTGCTTATACCACATGTAACTCTAATTGGTCACTGAAAATCATGTAATGAGGAGCTTCTTTTTTATTCCTTCACGTTCCCAGTGGAACATAGGGCTTCAAGCTAGAGGCTTGAAGTTTCTGTAGCAGTGCTTGTTTTTACAGGATGGGTTTTTTTTTGGTGTGGTTGTGTTCTCTGAGCTGGATGGTTTGGTTACGCAACCAAACCATCCAGCTCAGAGAACACAACCACACCAAAATCATCCACCTGAGCTACAAATCTTCTCTATTATATCTACAGGATGGGGTTGCTAGGCTTATGCCACCCAACCTTCCCTCCTTGCCAGTTCTGTTACTGGCTTAGCGAGGTAAAGGAGTACGTCGGCCAGGATCGAAAACCGGACCATGTGCATGGTCGGGGTGCGTCCTAACCGCTGTGCCACTGACGCACAATGAGGTGCTCGCTACAGTATAATTTCGACAAATTTCCTTTCATTCGATGTTTGCTTAGCAACTTAGAGCAAACTAAGAAACGTCACTCCGTATGAACACAAGACATAACATGTAACATTTTAGCACAAAAAATATATGACTAGCCTTACCTTATATTCAGTGAATGACTGCGCATAGACTGGCTAGTTAACAGAAATTATAATTTTGGTGTTTGACTTCATTTGACCAAATGAATTTATCATAAGTATATATTTCAGTAGATATAGAGTGATTACTGAACAAAAAATATTCTTTTCGGTAACTTCATCATGATAGATAAGCATCCTTCAATGCTAGCTTTGTGGCTGGTTTGGACTAGGTGATCTAATATTAAACAGTTGATGGCTTTAACTACACCTTTATTTAGCCACACTGCTAAGTGTTCCCGAGCACGAAGAATCAAGTTCCTAGAACAATAGTCAATATAACTCGCTGCACAAGCGGAGGTGAATTGGCAGATACAAGAAGAGGTACTTCATCTTTTAATCGAGGAATCACAACCCGTCATGTAGAAAGTATGACTTGTAATTTACCAGCATTAAAAGTTCTTTGAGTAGATTTTCTTAACTTGCCAGTAATTATTTCACCAAGTGCGTCACCCTTGAATTGCAGTTGTATATAGAAGGGCTTCTTATTTACAGATAGAGAATAGTCCTTTCCTACTTTCTTTGTCATATGTTTCTTGATGAACTTTTCGGGATAGCTATTTTCAATTAAGGTGTCATATAAAATGCTAAGTTCATCTTCAGTTACATTTTCTGAGTATATAGCTCTAATCCTGTAGCTTAGGGTCCTTATTAAATTCCTTTTGTACTGGAGAGGAACAAAGCTATAAAAGTGTGTATATTGTCCTGTCCATGTGCTGTTCCTATGCAAATTTCTCTTTGTACTCCCATCTGGTTTTCTTGTAAGAAGGACATATAGGAAGGCATTTATATTTTGGGATTCCTCTTCACACGTGAATTTGATGGCTGAATGTACTTCATTGAACTGAGTTATTATTGCGTTCCTGTCCAAATCATTTTCGCAAAGAATGAAGGTATCATCTATATGCCGGCAATCCCTATCCTTGACATGATCATTCATCTATCTGAAGTTCATAATCAATATGAATAGAATTTAATATGAAAATGACTTGAGAATTCATTACTAAATATTCATTGTCATTCATTAACATTCACCTTGTAATACTGGTGTTCAATTTAGTGTTACAATTATACATATTACCACTTACATATATTTAGGACCAAAATCTATTAACAATCTAATTGCAAATAACTTTTAGAATTCTGATCTAAGTGATTCGACGTGACCGTTAAAAAAAAACACTAGTGTTGTCAATAACAATCATTCATTCATAATTATGGATATATAACTGTAGAACCTGATGATGAGGTTATTGAAAACAGTATTGTCTGTTCAGTAATCAATCTTTTGAAATACAGAGTGTTTGTATTGGTGTGATATGGTTAGCTCAGCATTACTTTGTGTTATTTAACTTAACGAGATCTGTAACGTATCTAAAAAGAACTGTTTTTACCAAAGCCTATCCATCCTATGCTGAATCATGTAAATGCGAGTAAACATTTTCAAAACATCTCATGTATGAATTGAAGAAGTCAGCGAATACTTCACAATTTCCGTGCATACACACCACACATCCACCATCTACCATCATATTGTTTAGACAGAAGTTTTAGTTATTGATTGCATTTCCCCTTCTGTATGCTAAGAATACTTGATTCCGGCAAAGTTCAACTTGAGACACCCAACAGGAGCGAACTCACCAGTGACCTCTGAAAGAGCAATTGCGCTAAGTAGCAAATATGGTCCCCAAACGCAATCCTAATCCTATCGTTTTCCTTAATGCAACCCTAATCTATCCCGGAAGAACCCTAATATTTCCCTGACTAGGTTAAACTAAGCCTGACATAAACTAAAACAAACCAGATAACCTGTGTAATTTCCTTACACTTCATTCGACTCTATTTTCATGAATATAGTGTTATTTACATGCTTTCATTGCCCTGGTCTGACTGAACTTCCCAAGGTCACTGCTGTGCTCTCACCTGTGTCTAAGGTGCGTCTTCCTATTATGACGTAATATAACAGGTGTTTTATTTAAGTTGTCAGCTACTTAAAGTAATAATGACGATATCGAAAATAGATTGTGGTATTCTTAGAATTCATATTTCTAATAATAGACCACGAAAAGCAATGTGTAGTCTCTATAATTAGGCATTTTTACCTCATATTTTTGTGTATGTGCATATACGTAAGTGTATATGAATGATAGATTCAACTGGTAAATAAAAGCAGAATTCGAGCACCTTAATAGAGCATAATTATTGAATAGAATAATTTCGTTTGATGGAAAATACAGTCAGAGATACAGTACTAGTTATTTGAGTGGACGCCATATTCTAATAAGCGACAAAACTATGCTCGTAGTGTCATCAGTAAACAAATGAATTACAGTATCGTTTTGTGCTTACATCAAATAAAATAATTATTTTCTGAAAGATTATTCAACTATTTTTCGTGAGATCAAATGATTTCATAAATACTGAATTAGCAAATGAGTAAGTAATGCGGTTTTGAAAATAGAATTCTCTAGAAGAGAGTGTATAGGAATGCTTTTCTTATGAGGTTGGTATGATTACCGTTCAGTATAGTGTAGTTTAAATTGTTTTCTTTTGTTCTAAGTAAATTTCAAGTTACACACATGCTATGATCATTTTTCTCAAAATCGTTATGTGGTAAGTCTAATGAACAATAAACATAACGTCCTCAAAAAAATCGACGCATTTTACATTTTAACACAATTTTATTGAAGTATACATACAACTTTCTTTCAAGTAGACTTCGTACACTATACATTTGAATAGTTTGGGAAATTGGTGTAAACAATAATCCCAACGTTTTCTAACTGTAGTCCTTATAATAATGACGCCAGTGTACTGTATCGGTTAAAAATAATCTTTCTTTAATAGCATACTAACTAACTCCAACATTTATGTGCATTATGGTATGCTGTGTTTGGGACTACTCTAAAGTTGTTTAGCACATCATAACGAAGAGAAGTGATAATATGGTGCCTACGGTGTTTGACGATCTAGAATATATATATATATATATATATATATATATACATATATATATGAACGTCTTACAACACGGACTAGGTATGAGATAGGCCAGGAGATATCAAGAAAAGGTACTCATTCAGCAATACTGACAAATTATAAACCTCTGTAAGCCAATCACGTATAAAAGATTGAGTGTATCTATTTTTTTGATTGGCTAAAGATAGTTTTATTAACAGCTGCCTCGGCTCCACATAGAAAATCAGACAGGCAGTCGGAAGGCATTAGCAACAAGGAACTCTGGGAAAGAACCAACCAACGACCTATTG